AGGGGACCTAACTGCTATCAGATATTTATATAGAGATTACCCTTCAAGGACCTGCAGTTCAAAAAAGTTCCCCTCCTACAGCCAAACCCATCTGTTCTCTGATTGGATTGTTTAATTTGTGATTGACATGACATTGACCAATCAGCTTAAAGGAAGAAAAATAGGGTCAAAATTCGTAGTTGTAACTTGCAGGGTTTTTTTGGCAAAGTCCACACACAAATCTTTTTTACACATACAGATCTTTTTTACGCACACACAACTTTTTTTTTTACACATACAAATCTTTTTTACGCACACACAACTTTTTTTTTTTACACATACAAATCTTTTTTACGCACACACAACTTTTTTTTACACATACAAATCTTTTTTACAAGTACAAAACCGATTTACAAGTACAAAATATTTATGACCACATTTTGAGCCCATACAAATCACTCCAAAATTAAAGTTGAACCTGCATTGTGGACGTTTACCACAATGATGATTCAAGTTACCATGGTCTTTGTTCATAGGAAGGTACAAACCACATACATGCTGTGTGATTGTTGGGGTTATTTTTAATATTGTCGTGTCCTTGCCTTGCAAAAAAACCACCTTGAAGCGACTGTTACTGTGAATAAATAAAAAGAAAAATTTTTGCAATACTCTAATCTGTGTTTTTCACCTTGTAAGAGAGGCTGATGCAATATTTACATGAAAACACCATAAACATCCTTACATTTACGGTTCAGTTTTTTTGGTGCTGTGCCATGACCACTGTGTTTGCTGGGTATGCACTCAAATTACTAAGTTTAAAAATAAAAGTATGCAATTTGAGGAACCTGAGGGTTGGTGCTTGGCAGGTAAACTGGTAAACTTTAATTTTTAATAGTGAAGTGAGATTGAGAAAAGCAAATGATCATATTTTACAAAATGCTGCACTGTTGAAATCATTATCCGTTTCTTTTTCCAATCTTAGGTGATGTACTTTTCCTCCATTTTTCCCTATGTGGTGCTTTTTATTTTCCTGATCAGAGGATTACTGTTGGACGGTGCCTTGGAAGGAATCACCTACATGTTTTATCCTAAAGTAAGCAATATTCTCTCTCTTCCTTTTTCTTGACATCTTTTCTTTATTTTCATTTAACTAACAAAAGACAAACACCTCAGTGATTACAAAAAAAACCCCACAATAAAACATTTTCAGCTTTGACGAAAGAATGTAAACCTAAAGATGCTTTTATTTTGTCATATTTGCAGCTGGAGATCTGGGGTAACGTGCAGGTGTGGCGACAGGCTGCTACACAAGTGTTTTTCGCCCTGGGCCTGGGCTATGGTTCTGTTATCGCGTACTCCTCCTACAATCCAGTCCACAACAACTGCCACAGGGATGCTCTGATGGTCTCCTGCATCAACTTCATGACATCCGTGCTGGCCTCTCTAGTGGTTTTCATCGTGCTCGGTTTCCGTGCCAAGAACATTGCACTACGTTGTGTGGCTGAGTACGTATGTCTGTGCATGATTGAAATGGTAATTCAAATCCAACTAGCGAGCACTTTTAGATTGGCAAACTGCCGTAACAATCTTAAGGTGGACTGCTTGTTTGATTGGTTATCTTAGATTTATTTATTATTTTTGTGTTTAACCTTTTCAGAAATCTCAGTGTACTAAACTTATTGGCATCCAGTGGATCTAACCAGCATTGGTGGCCATGGTTCAACATGACAGATGTAAGCACTGTGACTTTAGCTGAATACAGAGAGTGGTACCATCTCTACAGCTCCATGGTGGGTCCTAAAATCACTGACTGCAGTCTGGAGCAGGAGATGAATAAGGTAATCTTGAGATATTAATAACAACAGCTTTGCTTCACAACATGATTAAAAACAAGCGACTTGAGGCACAAAGTTTAAAACGTCCACATGTCAAAGGTAAAAAAAAAAAAAATAAAATAAAAAAAAACAGTCTTTTTGCAGTAGTTTAAGGGATCTAAGAAACTGGAACAAGTAGCGTGTAAACGGTAACAAGATGGGAATACACATCTATAAGCATGCGTGAAAATTAGGACAACAGCTGAGATTTCTTATGTATATATGTTCTGTATTATAATACATTATAGGAAGAGGTATGTCCAATAATAAAGAGCAGTCACTGGTATTAAACTGAGTTTCTAATGTGCTGCTTCACTCATCCAGGATTACAAAGTGTTTTAAAGACAACTTTGCATAAATGAAAGAACTGCAGGTGTCCTACGAGGCACAAGATGCTGGATCGGTTACAAAAATCAAAGTTGAACATTTCAGTAACAATTGTATGTAGGCGAGCGCCGATGTTCCCAGGACCTACGAAGAATCTAGGAGGTGCTATAAAATATCCAGCAGGCAAAGACAATGAAAATGTATTGGAAATTGTATCTTGCTGGTTTTCTAGGAAAAATGAAAGCAAGCTGTGATACTAAAGAAGGAGATACTAAAGAAACAGGACAAGATGTACAAAGAGTCATGTTATCTCACGGTGTTTGTTTTATTTAAAAAGAAAAGACCTATTCTCTGTGTTAAAGAGCATGTTATACAAAAGGTGCACAGGTAATTTACTGGTATAGATTAGCTCTGGAAACAGCATCACAGTTAACACACATTTGTTGTCTGTTAGACTGAGTGGATCTGCTTTTTCCCACGTATTTCCACTATCTTACTATCTTGTGTGCGTTCAGGGTGTCGAAGGGACAGGCCTGGCATTCATAGCATTCACTGAGGTGATGGCCTTCTTCCCAGCTAGTCCCTTCTGGTCCACCCTGTTTTTCCTCATGCTGCTCAACCTGGGCCTCAGCACCATGTTTGGAACAATGCAGGGAATCCTCACACCTCTCATGGACAATTTCAGCCTCTTGGGGCGTCACCGAACCCTACTCACGGGTACTGAACATCAGTTGACATGTGTTCAAACTCTGCTGCTGTGTTTTATTGTTATTTTTTTCTTAAATAAAACTACATAAAAACCGAAAAAGTGCAAGATTCTCGTACTGCAGTGGTGTACTATGGGAGATAAATGTAGTCTTGTTGTCTTTGAAGTGGTCTTTAAATGTTTTCTGTCTTTTAGTGTCCAGCTGTGCTTTGGGGTTCATTATTGGATTACTGTTCACTCAGCGCTCTGGCAACTATTTTGTGACCATGTTTGATGACTACTCTGCAACCCTGCCTTTGGTCATTGTGGTCATTTTTGAAACCATTAGTGTGGCGTGGGTTTATGGAACAGATCGGTAAGCAACGTTATCTCTGACTTTCACAGGTTTTTTTGTCTTTATATGTTTGTTTGAAAAGATGCATTTTAAGAAAAGCATTTTGATTATTGCAGCTTTCTGGATGATATTGAAATAATGCTCAAATGGCGCCCTCCGGTGGTGTACAAGTACCTTTGGAAATATGTGTGTTTGCTGGCGATGGTCAGTCTTCTGGCAGCCAGTTTGCTCCGCATGGTCTTCAAAGGGCCCACGTACACCGCCTGGAATCAAAGCACGGTGAGATGTTCGACTTCAACTTTCCATCAAATCACATGATTTTAAACTTCAAATAGCCAGTTACCGTTTTAAAATATCAGGTGGTGTTTGCATAGCTCTTTTCTACTATGAGCACTCACTGTGATTTTTAACACAAGCCTTATTCACCCAAACACTCACACTCATTCTGATGAATACATCAGGAGAATGTATTTGTCCTGAAGACTGGACAATCTGGGATCAAACATCCCACTCCACTTCAGTAGACAACCTCCTGACCCACAGTACACACTATATGCATGTGTGTAACACATATATGCATGCTGGAAGATGTTGTGGTTTTAGCACAGTGTCCAAAACAGTAGAAAAGAAACTTTTTTTGTATCAACTCTGATGATCTCACAGACCTTCAGTGCAACCACCATCTCAATGTTCTGGATTCTCATTTCTTTTATTGTGATGCTCAACAAATGGAAAGTGGTTAATTTATACTGATATTAGGAGATTCACTTGGCCAGACAATAACATTGACCTTAGGAATCCTAAACTAGAGTGTTTATATTTATTCTACATATGGCATTTTTGTGCAGTTTATTCAGGTTACGCAGGGAAGAACAAATACACTGATGATGTGGACGTCTGAAAAACACATCTGACATTATAGCGTTAAACCTCATCATCACCTGTCCCTCTGCATCATATTGACTCCCTGTATGTTTAGGATTGTTGTCCTGCTGACTGGTGACATATTTTCCAGTGAGCGTTCATTCTGAAGCTTTCATTTGTAACAAAATCATCAGTAAACGAGAGCGTGTGGTTTCATTGGCACAGCTGTGCAGTGGTTATACTCACACCAAGATGCGATCCAAATACCTATGTCTGGATTCATCTGCTGTGACATAGCACAACAATATCTCTGTATTTATTCTTCATAAGAATAGTGAAGTTAGCCATTTTTTGTAGCGTCAACCTGCTTATCTGTTAACTGCACTTTTATGCTTTTGGTAACGAGTTGCTTAACCATCTCTTATCTTTTTAATTTTATAGCTCCTTTTAATCCCACAAGTAAACATTTATCTAACAGCCAAAGGTAATTCTGCCAGTGTTTGTCACTCTTAAGCTCTGTGTCTCTGCCTCTTCAGGCTTCTGAGATGACTCTCGAGTACCCTGGATGGGCCCTGGCTATGATCATCATGCTTATAGTGTTTGCCAGCTTGCCTGTACCTGTCAGCTACATCTATTCCTTAGTGAAGAACCGCTGGGTCCGTAGCACTCCCTCCCAGGTTGAAGTCGGCCAGGAAATGCGTCGCGAGTTGTACACCAAGTGCAGCTCTACCGAGCAGCCAGATTCCCATTTCCAACCTGTCCACTTCAGGGAAGACGAGGTTCATCCCAGGCCTGCCTTCCTGTCGGTGGGCAACGAACATTACCGGCTCCTTTCCCAGGAGGAGGACGAGGAGGAGGAGGAGGAACAAGACACGGGGGTGTGAGCATGGTGGTCAGAAGGAAGTTGTTTGAGAAAGGACAAAATTCAAATAGAAAGAAAAGTACAAAGACAAAAAATTAAAGCAAGCAGAGCCATGAACAGCGTTATCCTTGGATTTTATGTCTTTATATTCAGTAAACCTTTGAAAAGTTGTTTTAACTATGTATTTATATTGTATCATCCTCCTAGTGCCTCCCTATACTTGTTTTCTGAACCAGCTTTGCTGTTCAGAAGATAGAAACAGTTGTACATAAACAACAAAACAAACAGTTGTGTTTTTGAAAGGATTTAAAGTAGGAAACGTATGCAACATGCTGGTGACAGTCACTACTTTCATGTCTGGTGAATGCAGCAGCTCATAAAAATGCTTATGGGATCTTTTTTTAGCTGAAGGACTAATATGTATTTGCATGAAAACATTCTGCCTTT